CTCCCCCATTCTTCACCTTGCACTCATAGCACTTGTGGCCTTCTTTGTAGCACACGTAACAAACCACGGTTTGTCCTTCATCAAGCTTCTTCACTCCCTTGACGGTGTTATCTTGATGAAGTTGGGTTTGCTTCGCCTTGCCTTTCACTTGAGTCAAGTCCTTGGTGAGGCGAGCTACTTCTTGCTTGAGTTGCTCATTATCTTTTGCAACCTCTTGTGTGCATGTATCTACAATCACTTTCTCAACACAAGCTTGGTTGCACAAAGGTGAGTCTAAACATAAATCATTGCAAGAGGTAGATGTATCCTTTTTATTTATGTCATTTCTTTTAGACACCTTGGTAGGGGTATTTTTGATGGCCTCAAGATTAGCAACTTTATTTGTTAGTTCATCACAATGTTTGCACATGATTTCCATTTTAGCAAGCAAACTTTGATAATCATTTTGTGAGCTAGCTAACTTTTCTTTTAATTTTTTATTTTTCTTTTCAAGTTGCTTATCATTAATTGTGCATGCACTTGTTGTTGCACTAGCCTCAAGTTGCTCAATTTTAGTAGATAGTTCAACATTGAGATTTGTAAAGTTTTCATATTGTTCAAGCAAATTCTTGTATGCTTCTTGTGAACTACCTAGCTCTTCTTTTAAATTTTTGAGCTTCTTTTGTTGACTAGTGTAAACTTTAGCATATTTAAGATTTTGTTGCACAATTGTATTGTAAGAAGGCAAATCATCATCACTATCACTCTCACTAGAGGATGAGCTTTCGTTACCTCATGCCATAAGGCACACACGAGAAGAGCTTGATGATGAGTGCTTGTGACCTCGCCTCTTGTGATGGTTTTCTTCTTCACTTGAAGAATCATCCCATGACCTTATTGTTGTGAGGGCTTTGTTCTTGCACGCCTTCTTCGTTGTCTTGGGTGTGGGCTTGTTTGGACAAACTTCCACAAAGTGCCTCAACTCGCCGCATCCATAGCATCCCCTCTTTCTTTGCTCGTTTCTTTGATTAGTGAAAACGAGGTCTTGAATTTGGATGGGCACACCCTTGACATTGAGCCTTACGATCATCTTCTCCACCTTTTTGATAAGTTTGATTGATTCTTCATCAAGGTCGGAGGTGGAGGAGGAAGATTGATCATCATCACTTGATTCTTGTTCATCATCATCATCATCATCATCATCTTCTTCTTCTTCACTTGAGGAGCTTGAGCTTGAGCTTGACTCAACTTTCATGCCCTTCATCTTTTTCTTCTCGCTACAAGCGAGAGCTTTGCCTTTGCTTGATGAAGATGCTTCTCCTTGACCCATCTTACGTGACATTTCAAATGCCACTAGCTTGCCAATGACAATGTCCGGGGTCATGGTGCTCAAGTTCTCTATGTTGTGAAGGATGGTGATGATGCTTGCATATTTCTTTTGTGGTAGAACGGAGATGATCTTCCTTATGATGTCCGCATCATCTAGCTTTAATAATCCTATTGAATGGAGCTCATTGATAATTAGATTCAATCGAGAATACATATCACGAACAAGCTCATCATTATTCATAGCAAAGGAATCATAATTTTGCTTGGCTAGACAATGTTTTTGCTCATGGATATTACTTGTGCCGTCATGGAGCTCTTGGAGTTTTAACCAAATTTCATGTGCCGTATTTAAGGTGAACACTTGGTTAAACACATCCATGCTAAAGGATTCAAACAAGCAATTCTTAGCTCTAGCATTGAAATGCATTTCTTTTTTGTCACTCTTTGTGGGTTTTTCGGGATTCTTGATGGGTTTCATCCCATCACGAGTGACTCTCCATACACCCAAATCAACCGCCTCAAGGTGGCAAGCCATTTAGCTTTATAGTATGGGAAGTTAGTGCCGTCAAATTGTGGAGGCCTAGTGGTATCCATCCCAACCACTCTACAATAGCGTCGGCTCAACGGCGGTTAAGCCAAGGGTCCAAATATGAGCCAACTGTCTCTGATACCAATTGAAGGGACCGTTACGCCTAAGAGGGGGGTGAATTAGGCAACTAAAAAATCTAACTCTAAACTATGGCCTCTTTTTCTAACCCTAGCAAAACTTATGTAATAGATAAGCTATCTAGATGTGCAACTATGGTTTTGCTAGTGTGTTGCTATCTCTACCGCAAACGTAGTAAAGTAATCAATGTAAATGCGGAAGCTAAAGAGCAAGGTAGAGATATGCAAACTCCCATCGATGACTCCGGTATTTTTACCGAGGTATCGAGAAGCGCGCAAGCTTCCCCCTAGTCCTCGTTGGAGCCCCTCGCAAGGAATCCCTCGCAAGGGCCAAGCTCCCGGTCGGGTAACTCCGTGGATAGCCTCGGGCCTTCCCCACGTGCAAGTGGGTCTCCGATGTGCCTCTCGGCAAGCCTCTCCCGGATGCTCCCCGCCGTCTTCACTATCAAGCTTCCGACCAAAACGCCGCGGGCCTTGTTCCCTCCGGTACACGGTGGCGGCCACACCACAAACGCGGTTGGTATGATCTCGCAAGACTTCAAGCCCCTCCGATGTACAACACTTGTGCTCACAAGCACGGGGTGGCAAGAGGTATGCAAACCTCACTTAAACACTAGGCAAACACCTAGAGCAAGCGCATAAGCGGTGGTCTAATCAACCTAAGCACTTCGCAAAGCACTTATGCTAATCACCTAATAAAACACTAAGCACTATGCATGTGGAGATCACTCAAATGGTGTATCAACACTCTTGGTATGTTTCCTCAGCTCCACACACCTCAAATGGCCGGTTGGGGGTTGTATTTATAAGCCCCACTAAGAAAGTAGCCGTTGGGGTTGAATTCCCGCAAAACTGCTACTGACCGGACGCTGAATCGTCCTGACCGGACACGTCCGATCGTCCCGACCGTTGAGCCGGCAGAACACTGATCGGACGCTGTCCAGCGTCCGGTCGCCTGCCACCGGACGCGTCCGGTCACAGATTTGCCGCTCCGGAACCTTACTGTAATCGATTGGACGCTGTGTTCCTGCGTCTGGTCGGTTGCCGCCAGCGTCTGGTCCTCACGTTCGGTCGCCTGTCTGCCGAGCCACTGATCCAGCGTCCGGTCGTGCTTTCAGCGTTCGGTCGCGTCTGCGAGCTCGTTTCTTCGTGATCTTGCGTACGGCTTGGTTCCTAACTTCATGCTTGGACTTTGCTTGATATCTTGGGTCTTTTCTTGTGCTCCTAAGGTCTTGCTTAAGGTGTTGATCATCGGATCATCACGTCGCCTTCGTCCAAGTCACGTCTTGCACCCTGTTGGACTACAAAGCAAACACTTGCAAATTCATTAGTCCAATTTGGTTGTGTTGGTCATCAAACACCAAAATCCAAAGTAAATGGGCTTAGGGTCCATTTTTCTTACAAGACAGTCTAAGGATTTGTTTAACTCTACTCCAAATGTATTCAATAAATCCCAACCTGGATAGATTGAGAGGGGTTCAAGAAAAAATTAGTTATTTTTTCTATCTTGGTCTTTTTCGGCTCAATGCATCCAAACAAGTCATAAACTAAAAAGGAATTGCTGGCGCCCGTACGTTCGATGGGATAGGATTCCGTCAGACGTTACCGAACGGCCCATCACAAACGCGCACTGCAGTCCTTCCCCGTCTGCCCCGTTTTGCCCTGCTCCTGTCCGCCTCGCCCCACCCCGCACCGCTCCTTTCCCCTGACCTCCTCTCTCTCTGCGCGGGCGGGACCCGAAAGCTGGGATGAGGACGAGCACGCCCCGTCCGTAGGACCCCAGGCATGGAGCCACCCCATCTGTCGCCCCTCAGCTCGCGCCCCCCCCCACGGCGCCCCGAGCCGTGCGCCAATCACTCTCTGAACATATCTCTGAAACACGAAACACTTGCAACATGAAACACTTGAATGCAACACACGTCTGAAGCAGATGAAATATTTGAAACATACATTTGCATTATGTGTGTGAAACATATGCAACATCCAGATAAAACACTTGCAATTTGCAACATAAGACTAAAACATTTCGAACATACTGCTGCAACATATGTGTGAAATATATGCAACATCTAGATAAAAAAACGCTTGCAACATACGTCTCAAACAGAGGAAACATTTTAAACAAACGTTTGCAACATGCCTCTAGAACACTTTGCAATATATGCAACATCTATTTTTGCAATATCCATATGAAACACTTGCAACATACCTCTGGAACATCTAAAACATATTAATACTACGCTTGCAACACGTCAGGCATGACACTTTAGTAGGAGGCGGACACCATGTCAGGCGCGTTGAGGAAGTCGATAACCGCCTTGATGGGCAGATCGGGGATGGGAGGTGGCAGAGCGAAGAGCACCACGGGCTTGGTTGCCGCGAGCTTCTTCCACGGGGGCACGCGGAGCCTCGATGCGAGTGCAAAGTACGGCATGGCCGCGATGCCCTCGCGGTCTCCGGCCGCAGGAGGAGGTGACGAGGAGGACGTTGGTGCCGGCTCCAGCGATGAGGGCAGGGGCGGGCGGTGGGCGCAACTCTAGCGGCGCAGTTTGGCGTCACGGAGGCGAGCGAGGGCCCCGGGGCGGAGGAAGCGGAGGTGGTCGCCGCCGGAGAAGACGAGCGGCGGGCGAGCAGTAGAGAACGCCGCGACGGCCGTGCTAGTTAGGAATGTCGCCGCCTTTTTTTTAATTTTGAGAAACAGTGAAAGAACGAAGATAAAGAGAAAAAAGACTTATTGAGCTGGTAGTGCACAGGCCCACGAAGCTTGTCATCTGAGCCGAAACTAAGAACACGTGTGACGTGGGTTTTGACTTCCAAAGTTGGATCGAATACCCTTGTAACCTGCTCTACCTTTATGGTGTATACGAACACTATCATTCTTTCGACATGCATAAGCGATTATAATCCGAGCAATCAAGCATATGCAGACGCATTTACATACACGAATGCTCACCTCGTACGACGTATTGATCAGTTGCACATACATACAGATTATATTCACACACCGTGTCTACACACACAACAAATTACTCTTCCTCTCCGGACAAGCCTAAGCTCACCGGCGTGCCGGTCTCCGGTATCCAGTCCGCGCCGTGCAAGAAGTGGCCCACCGTGAACTGCAGCGCCTTGTCCTTGCCCATCACGTGGAACCCCCGCATCTCCTTCCGCCCGGTGACGTTGGCGCCGTCGCCGGCATTCCTGAACTCGCCGAAGAAGGCCGTGCCCAGGTCGTCCTTGCCCTCCCAGGGCATGTACCCCTGGCCGTGCACGAAGCCGTCGATGATGGACTCCATCACCACCGTCCTCGCGAACTCCTTCCACGGCCGGCCCAGGTACGTCTTGACCGGCGCGGACCCGGACTTGTTGCTGTTGCTGCTGGCGAGCTGCTCGTCGGCGACGATCTGACTCCGGTGGATGACGAAGCCCGTGGTCTGCTGGTGGTCCCGCCGCGACTGCGCGGTGACCACGGCCGGCTGGCCCTGCCGTGGCTGCCGCACCAGCAGCAGGCAGCGCTGGAACACGGCCGCGGCGTCGCCCATGATGAAGTCCACGGTGCCGGAGATGACGCAGCTGCGGTAGAACTGGCGGTACGCCTGAGCGAACAGCGTGTCCTGGTTGCCCTCGATCCGGCAGTTGAAGAAGATGGCCTTGTCGCCCTTCACCCGCAGCGCCAGCGCTTGCTGCTTCTCCACCCCCGCCGTGTTCCGGATGCCCAGCTTCATCGCCATGAAACTGTCGCCGTCCACCGCTGCAGGCAGTGCAGGCATGTTATGGTGGATGATCCATGCCAATGCCATGCCCATGCGTGTTCCAATCAATCAACCAATGAAATATATACCAAAAGTGGCGGTTCTCCACATCCTGATGCCGTCCACGATGTTCTTGCTGCCCGTTACGATGGACCTCTTGGACCCGTCGCCGTACATGGTGATGTTGGCCATCCTACCGGTGATGTTCACCGTCTCGTCGTACACGCCTTCCTTGACGTAGATGAAGTACCTGCCTCTGTACTTCTCCGGCATGGCGTCCAGCGCGGCGGAGATGTTTGTGAAGTCGCCGCTGCCGTCCTTGGCCACCGTCACGTTGGGCGTGAGCGCGGCCTTGCGCCGCCCGCCCTTGACGCCGAGCAGCTTCCGCTCCTCGTTGGGCACCCACGTGGGGAATGACGACGACGACGACGACGAAGCGGATTCCCCCTCTTCCTCGAGCTGACGGTTGCTGCCCTTGCCGTTCACGTCGTCGGGGCTGCCGCCGTTGAGGTCGAGCATGGAGGCCAGAGCGGCGCCCTGCTTGATGATGGCGAGGGCGTTGCTGGAGATCTCCCGCGCCTTCTCCATGGTGCTCTTCACCTCGTCGCGGACCTCCCCCTTGGGGAACATGTCGACGCAGGAGCCCTGGAAGGTGATCACCGCGCTGAGCCAGGCCTGGAGGTCCTGCGCGGGCCCGTCCACGCCGCGCCACGCGATGCTGTGCAGCGCGCGCTCCACGTTGCCCCGGCAGTCCTCCAGGAGCATCCGGCAGTCGTGGATGGCCTCCCACACCAGGGTGTCGTTGCTCTGCCGCACCGCGTCCAGCACGGAGGAGCGGTTGAACCCGTCCGCCAGCGCGCGCTCCGCGGCGGTGATCGCGGCGGCCACGGCGGCGTGCGGGTGCTCGGCCGGGTCCGTCCGCGACAACGCCGACTCCAGCGTGTCGCGGCACGTGCCCTGGAAGTCCGCGGGCGCGCAGAAGAGCTCCACGCTGCGCATCGTCTTGATCATGTTGCGCTTGCTCTCCGAGTCGTAGCCGGCCCTCTCGTTCACGAAGAACACGACCGTCCCTATCACCATGGCCACGAGCAGGCACACCGAGAGCACGCCGACGACGAGCCTGTTGCGCGACTGGCCGCCATCGGACGACGACATTGGCGTTGGCGTTGGCGCGCGCAACGGGAGCCCGACGCCGCCGCGCGAGCCAAATCCGGATCGGAGGGCACGACGTCGACGCGGGACGCGGCACGGGGCATCAGTTGGACATATGCATGGAAACGAACGTGCCCAACGACCACCACCGCCAAGTGGCTATGATTAGGAAGAAGAGCAAGTTTGTTTTGTCTTGCCTGATGATTGTTTGGTACAGAGTTGTGGTTTACCCTTGTTCTCAGGAAGAGGCTTGTGTTGGATCTGTGCCGGGAAGATTCTACACCCGGGCGTGGATTTTGTCTCCCTTTTTTTGAAAACTTATTAAATACTGCCAGAGTGAGAACTTTTTATTTATAGAGCATGTTATTCTAGGCCAATAAGCAGTTTCATCCTTATGTTTTGTAGGAGGCTCAGTTTTATCCACTACTTCTTCCGTTTCAAGTTGTAAGTTGTTTTAAATTTGTTCTAAATCAAAATACATCTAACTTTGACCAAATCCAGAGGCAAAATATAATAATAATATATACAATACCACACAAACACACTATCGTAATATATTCACAGTGATCTAATGAACATAGTTTGGTATTTTAGATGTTTACTAGCAAACGTGCCCGTGGTAACGGGATCTAATATGTCTTAGTATTAGATTTCGTGTGTCAGTATGTCTACAAGATCTAATACATCTTGGAATCAGATCTAATACCATTGCTAAACAGGATTCGTTCTAACTCGAATGAGCACATGTCATAAGTTCGGTCACATAAGCCACATTGTCGATCGATATTTCAGCTGTTAAAAATCTCATAGTCCATTAGGTTGTCGCGCTAGACTGCTCAAAACCGGATAGCCTTTACAGCCTGTTAACCAACATAGTACTCCATAATTTTAATTGAATTGCTTAATTATCACAATTGGTTGCATTATTTTCGGCACTAAACATTGTGGCATCTCCAAGAGTACCTTAAAAATTATTTCTAAAACTCCTGAGTTTCCCAAGTCCTAAAAAAAAGTATTGGAAGCATTAAAGATGTGTTTCTCCGACAGTTTCTAAAAAAAACCACTCCTAAAAAATAAAAATTGGTTCTTTTCACGGGAGAGTGCGATCATCCAGGTTGCGGCGAGAACTCCACGAACGCCAGCCGCCAGCCACCCCCAGCACAAACGCAACGCAACGCACCAGCTAGCAGCAAGCGGAGAGTAGCAATAGAGAGCTCAGTCGAGAGCTGGTGGGTGCTTCCTCTCGGCTTCGCAGCTGGTCCGAACACACACGCGTACTACACGGCAGCTAGCACGCGATGGCGAACCTCCGTCCGCTCGCGCTCCTCCTCGCCGTCCTCGCCTGCGCGCTGTGCCGCCACGCCAACGCGACCACGTTCGAGGTCGGCGGCGACGACGGGTGGGTCGTGCCGCCGGCCAGCGACGGCGGCAGGTACAACCAGTGGGCGTCCAAGAACCGATTCCTCGTCGGCGACCTCGTCCGTAAGAGACAGATCCATTCCCATTCGTTCGTTGGTTCTCTTGGATCAATCTGGCAAACGCCATTAATCAATCTCGATCGCCGCCAACTCATGCATGGTCCGTGCCGCGTGCAGACTTCAAGTACAAGGAGGACTCGGTGATGGTGGTGACAGAGGCCGACTACGACAGCTGCCGCGCGTCGCACCCCATCTTCTTCTCCAACAACGGCGACACGGAGGTGGCCTTGGACCACCCGGGCCCCGTCTACTTCATATCCTATTCACTTGTTTGGTGAGGCATTAGATGGAGTTTAGGATACAATGTATCTACAAAAAAAAAATCGACAAAAATGAAGAAAAAAAGAAATGCAGGCTTATCCACTCACGGACTCAATCGCGAGCTGTTCTCTCTTAGTGTCGGCCGTTCATCAAGCAGGTGCACAGGACGCGGAACGTCCAGCCAGCTAGCGGACCGAGAAAATTATGCGACGGTGCCGCAACGAGACCTACCTGGAGCATGGATCCACCAGACCTCCCATACAAACCCGTTCATCAAGATCCAGGACGCGGAACGTCCAGCCAGCTACGACCGAGAAAATCGACAACGACGAGACCTACCTGGAGCATGGATCCACCAGACCTCCCATACAAACCCGTCATGGATCCCCCCCTTCTTTTACGATCCAACGACGTGCCTAAAAGATGTCCTTCGCTGGGTAAGTTCGCATGCAGCTGTGGAGGCAATCCATCTGCAATGAAATCAGTTGTGGAGAGCTACGGAGGCAGCATGAGCCATGACGTCTCCTTGTGGTTGTCTGGCCGCCGGCTATTGTTAGCTTCTCAAATCCAGACCAGGTGATGAAGCAAGGTAGGATCTCCTTCGTTAGACCATATGCATGATCTGATTGATCACGGGCTCACGGCGCATCATCAGGTTGATTCGACAAAATCGCTATGCCATGCTTCGATGTGCGCTTGGCAATCCACTGTCGCTTGCCACGCGCGCGGATGCTCGCGCTGGGCCACACAACTTGACAACCCGCTCTTGCCGCTGCCTTCTCACCTGTTGACTATGGTTGCTTCCATCTGATTCAACACACGGACGTCCTCCTCTTTGGTTCTGTGCACCGAAGTCATGGTACGGTTGACCTTATATGAGTTTGTCACGCTCGGACAAAGGACGACGCGCGAGAAAAATAAAAAAGGGATGATGACATGCGAGAAAAAGCGACTTGTGGTTTTTAACATGATAAGGTAAGATAAAATAAGATTAGGATTCCTATTCGGATTGGAGAGATGTATATGGAAATTAAGATTAGGATTTCTATTCAGATTGGAGGGATGTTTTTGGAAAATAAGATTAAGATTCCTATTCGAATTGAAGGGATGCATGCAACGCGCAAGGGAGAGAGCATGGCCTGCCTCTTTAGGAGTAGGATTGTCGATCTTATATTTAGTAGAGGAAGAGATGGAGTTTGACTCCGACGAAAAATAACTTTTCAGTTTTGATAGAGGAAATCAAGTGCTTTGCAATCAGACTCCGTATCGCGCTAGGCAAGAGCTATTCTAACTCATACGAACACGAGTCATATATAAAAGTCCGGACGAAAAAAACTTTCTATTGTCCGGTAATCAGAGGGAGACGGAAAAAAATGGATGGACGAAAAAAATGGCCGAAAATTTTGCCTCTTTATTATTAGGGATAGATATACACTTTTTCTATAAACTTAGTCAAAATTAGAGACATTTGACTTATGACAAAGCTAAAAATGACTTACAATTTCAAATGGAGGGCATATAATTCAACATGTTCATATACTAGGTCCTTATGGTTTTAATTAGGGCTATGCTATAGGGCCTGTTCGGCAGGACTGAAAAATACTGTTCCGGCTGATTGTTGTGAGAGAAAAATACTGTTCTGGCAGGACGTGAACAGTGATTCTGTGAGAGGAAAAATAAGCCAGCTGGCTGGAAACAAGCCAGCCGAACAGGCCCTATGTGTTCGTAGATTCTCAGTTAACAATGTGTAGCCAACCAAAACAGATTGAAGCGTTAGTCATCTTTCATCTTCATCAATCATTTTCTCTGTCTTGCCTTCAAAGCGCACGATAATGTAAGCTCATGCCTACCTTTCCCACCATCATGCCATTTTTCTGTTCTCCCATTGGTTATGCCACTCACTATTCATTCTCCACCTTCTGTTATTAGCAATGCCCTACCTCACTGCTCACCACTTCCCATCGTTGTCACCAGGCAAACCACCTCACAAGAACACCCTTTATAAAAAAAACATCAGAAGCCCTAATTTTGAACCATAACCCTATTCACCAGCCTCGTTGTTGACATTTTTCTACTCTAATGCAGCAGGCCCATGTTCAAACAAGTTGATGGAAATGGGGACTCTTTAGTCGCTTGGAATTTGCAACCAGTGTTCTTTGATTATGATGGGAAGCTATCTTGTTGCTAGTTTAGAGCTCTGCCTTCAACTCTTAGGGCCTGTTTGGCACACTCACACTGGCTCCGGCTCCATCTGACATGTGCACTGTAGTAAGGAGTAGTAAGGAGCCATTGGCCTTGTTTGTTTCGCTGAAATTTGGCTTATACTGATGTTTATGCTGATTTGTTGTGAGAGGAAAACACTGTTTGTTCGACGAAAAGTACTGCTGAAGTAGTTCAAGCAAACAGGGCCATTAGCCTTTTTCTTTTTGCTTGACTGACTCCTGGCTACAGTGAACCTACAATGTTAAAGTTGGAGAAACCATAAAACCACCGGCATAAATAAAAAGTAAAATTTATGCTACCATGGTACTATACTATGTAGTACAAAGTGGTAGGACATGTAGCCCATTCACATCCTAATATCCAACACAATGTTTGGTAAAGAGTGTGAAGGGTTAAAGTGGTTTTCACTTTCTTAAACATGTCAAACATACATTTTTTTGAATTTGCTAGCCATTGTCGGCCTAGCAAATTGTTCAAACACTTTGATGAAAACATATCCCTCAAACTAAAATAAATATATGCCTTAAAATATCCCTCAAATTTACTTAAAGCTTTCTCACTAGATAAATATATGCCTTATTAATTTAGAATTGATGAAAACGTAATAATATATTTAAAACCATTTACTTGTCTTTCCAATACACATTAGGATCCCCATAGGATCAAAGATTCCTTATGGAGAATCCATGGCTTCTTGTCATCTTACCATTACTAATTAGAGATTCCACATTAGTTCTCATGAAAAGCATTAGTAAAAAAGGATAAATTTTAAAACTTCTCACAAAAGTTAGAAAAATGTAGCCTTTAATTTGGTAAACAATAATCATCATCGTCAATAGTAGCCATTGGATCTACTCTATTTTATGAAAAATATAAACACTTTTGCCACTGTGAAAAAATTTATATAGTAACCCCTCAAATTTGCATCTAAGTTTCCCACCAATAAATTATGAAAAATAATTTAAAATAACCATCCCATTTGCATATAAATTATCCATGTCTGCCATTTTAAAAGATGGAATAAAATAACCCTCTAAGTTACCACCTTTGTAATTATAAAAGGTAGTGTAAAGTAACACCTAAATTTGCATGTAGAACACAAACATATAGAATTATGAAAGATAATATGAAGTAACACTTTTAATTTCTATCAAATTATCCAGCGCTACTATTATATATAATAAACTAAAACATCCCTCAAATTTATGTATAAATACTACTAGTGTATCAAATGTGGAGAAATGCTCCCTTAACAAAGCACATATCTATGACATTGAGAATTCACTCTAAATTATATTAATAATCCATGAAATAAGTTTTGTAAGTTATTCATATAATTCTTTGATATAACAAACGATACTAATAAATTATTTAAAATTATATTAATATCCATGACATATAATTTATATAAATTGTTACTTAGATAAACTTATACATTTTAACTGAAATATTTGACATATCTATACTGATACTATAATGATAAAGCAATAACTACACATATATTCTTTATAAGAAAATTCAAACATCTTGAGAAGTGGGAGAGGTTAGTATCTACTAAAAAAGTGGTTATACCTTCCTAGTGTTTGATATTCTTTATAGGAAACAGTGATTATAAAGATTAAATATATTAGTGTTCTCTTGAGGTTAGAACCGTTAAGTCATCCAATATCTCACTTCAAGGTCCACCGCCATCTTGAGCAATATGGTGCATGTTTAAATGGCCATTTATGCCATTGTTGTACTTAAGAATGCAACCTGAATCATTATTTTTAGTAAAATACAAAATAATTATTGATAAGAAATACAATAAGTAAAAAAGTTTCTAACGTAACTTGAGGTTAGAAAATTTGTAGTAAATAATAAGATCAAACTTGAAAGAAATGAAAATCTAGATTCATAATGTCATGAGACAAGAGCTACAACAAGATGCACCATGGTTATGCCTAATGAAGATTATAGTTCGTGCAATACCACATGTTGATGAACTAGCTAGTTTTGCTAATTAAACATAAAAAGTTTTGTATTTGAGGGAGACAAATATCATTCTTTTAGCTAGCTAACAAGTCCTTATGTACTGTATTCAAGATTTTATCAGTAACACCCTCATTTCACTCAATTGGTTTATATGTTGTTTGTAGTTACTGCCGCTAAATTTGACGAGTTGAGACTTCAAGAAATGATAGCATGGCACATAAAATGCTTCTATGTTATATTTCAGGCCGGCAGTTTATTAGTAAGAAATCGATTCAAATTTTAATTTGCTTGACTTCCTAATAATCTTCTAGTTTACCCACTTGTGTCTTAGGCAAGAAGAATGTGCACCAAAATCAGTCATAAAACGACGGAAGTGTGTTCCATCATCTAACTCATTTCCTTGAATAGATGTCTAAGAGCACCTTATCATGAGCCTCTACTGCACGCAGCCGCGGCACAACGTATGATGTGGGTGGCATGTGTGCGCTGGCACTACATTAGACGATGATGGCAACTAGCAGCCAAGCTATAATCACTAGGCCTAATTGTAATTGCATCCTTTGACTAATCATAGCCACTCTCTCAAAAGAGAAACCTCAAGTCCATTATATTTAGGACCTGGGAAGAGGGTCACTAGGAATCCACAGCCCTTTTGGTGCACCTTTATTTAAGGGAATGTTTGGTTTCCATAAGTCAGGTGACTGAAAACCAGTGACTTATAAGTCATGTCTGTTTGGTTATAGATGACTTATAAGCTCATTAAAGGTGTGGGCCCCACGTGAAAAGGGTGACTTATAAGTTTTCAGCCTGTTTGGGAGGCCGTATCGTATCGTGGATTATTTACTGCTGGCTGGTTTGGTGTGAGAGAAAAACACTGTTCCCGGCTGGAAATTTACGATCGTTTACGAGCAAGCGAACAGGCTATTTAAGTAGGGGTGAACCAACTTAAAACTTATAAGCAGGGGTGACTTATAAGTTGGTGGTGTTTGACAAAATAAATCACTTATTTCACTTTTTAACTTATAAAGAGGTAACTTATTTGAACCAATCAGGCCCTGAACTTGCCTCACGCTCGCTTGAGGCTTTGTCAATACCATCATTGCCAGTTATTACGTGGCTATTCGGAGAATTCCTAGTTTATCGCTCACGCGTGCAGCTTTGCTGGCTCAACTGGAGACAAGCTGCAATGTTCAATGCCGTGCCGACCTTGGTTGCATCATACTGCCACTCGATTTGTTTTTTGTTTTTTTTTGTGCGCTGAAATTTTTCTTTTTTTTCTTTTTAGAAAATAAAGGAAAATAATCCCAACATTGGAAGTTGCGTGCAAGGCAAATTTTTGAAGAAAAAAAAAACTTTCGCAGTGAAGTGGTTCATTGAAGGGCACAAAAGCTGAAATTTGGCAGCCCATTTCCTGGGTGAATGCCACAAAGTTTGAGGGAAAAGCCTCTTTGGCTATCAATTCCTGCCAATTTGTTAATTTGAATACCCATAACGTACCGTACATCTTATCCCGGCCGCCGCCGGGGTCATGAGCATAATCATGTCGATGCAATTCTATCTCTCTCACTTGGAAGCGAAGAAAGAGAAAGTCATCATACGTACAAGACCATATATCTGTGTTTGTGTGCATGGATCAACGTCATTATATTTCTCTATCCGCCGCCTAATAACCCTATTATTCCTCTGTCATGTCGTCACACGTATATGAAATTTTCTAAACCGTATGGGGACAACTTAAGGCTACCGAATAGGTTATCCTCCCTATCTCCGGCCAATAAGATTCCAGCGAGTTTGAAATTAGAATTAGCTCAGGAAAATGACGTGACAGATACTTTCTTCTTCTTCTTCTTTTTAAAAAGCAAGTTTTATTTGCCGCCTTTGCACTTTTCAACCTGCTCCATATAATAACAATTTTCAGACACAGACTCTATCCCGAGAAGTATCATTGGATGATTCAAACATGCCAAAAGTATATAATTAAAATTTCATCCATCTACTTGACTACTTGGTGAATAAGAATTTATAGAAGCTCGGCGATAGAATTTAGAAACTCTACGTAATGGATTCCCATGAGAAGAATAGTACAAATCAGAAAGTTCTTTTGAAGTTTATACACAAATCCTCTCAAGATGTGAAAAAGATATATATATCTTAAAAGTTATCGTAATGGACAAAAACATTTGACCATCAATTTGGTAGATTCTAATAGTCACTAATAATAACAACAATTAATTCTCCTATGTTTTCTTGAAAATTACTCATACTCCTATCTATCACCGTGGAAAATACTCTAAAGTAGTAGAACCCCCTAAATCGATACCCAAATTACCCACGTATCCCTAATGAAAATAACCAAAATGAACCCCTTTCAATCTTCATCTAAATTGCTCATATATCACATTCGATTTGACCGAGCCCGAGTCCCCGATGTTTTTGAGATATTTTGATGACGGAACCCGTGTTAACCGCCACTAGGAAAAACCTTGTTTTCGAAACCGATGAACATATCACATTCGATTTGACCGAGCCCGAGTCCCCGATGTATATAGAGACGTCGATCCGGTTCCTGTAAAAATCATTCTCGTGACGAGATATGGTATTAGTAAAGGAGATCGAGAAAGGGGTTCACGTTCACGGGCATACATACCTGGCTCGAGGAAGGAAGGAAGGCGCGGACGCGACGAACAGGTCCGCCGGCCGAAACTGTTGGGCAATGCGATGGCGGGGCAATGGCCCAGGTCCGAATCTTTAATTCGACGACGCCGACGTGGTTTGTAGCCTGTGTTGTGTGATTACGTGACGGTTTAGTTCCCAAAATTTTGTAAATTTTTTTGAGATTCTCCGTCATATCGAATCTTTGACGCATGTATGAAACATTAAATATAAATAAAAAATAAAAATAATTATACAGTTTAAACGAAATTCACGAGACGAATCTTTTAAACCTAATTAAATTATAATTAAATATTAATTATCAAATAATAATAAAAATATTACCGTATTATTTTCCAAAAACTTTCACCAGCTAAACAAGACCTACGATTATGGAGAGGCGATGTGATGGGGACGGGACGCGAGCCTATCCACAGCGGTGTCAGCGTCCACGTGTTGCTCGACACGTTTTGCTGTTTGCCCGACAACCACCTCCAGTCAGTGAGGAGCCCAGCATACTAGGTGTCTTTTTAGTTTTTAAAATTTTGTAAAATTTTTCAAAATTTTCCGTCATATCAAATCTTTGATACATGCATGAAATATTAAATATAAATAAAAAATAAAACTAATTATATAGTTTAGACGAAATTCACTGAGACGAATCTTTTAAGCCTAATTACATTATAATTGGATACTAATTGCCAAATAACAACAAAAGTGCTACGGTATCATTTAAAAAAAAACATTCGCCTACCTAAACAAGGCCTAGTAGTATACTGCTTGTTCCAAATCCAACTTCGAACTGCTCAGGTTTGGCATGTGACGCCGTACCTCAGTAGTAATATGCTTTTATAGTGAAGCTCGTTTTGGAACGCACCAGTTCTACAGAAAGTTCAAATGCAAATTCAGGGGTGAAAAAAAAGAAGAAGATTCTAAAGAGGTCATGCTCATGCCACTGACATGGGAAGTTTTCCAATTTGTAGGGCCGAGTTCACATCCTCTATGGCTTTGGCCTCTGGGGTTTTACAAGTGAGTCGATTGCTTTTGTTTTGCTGTAGCGCCAGACGGAAGAACAGAAGCTTCTGAACTGGGTGGCTCTCTAGAGACAGATCAGCAGCGTCGTCTGCAGTCAGGATACTCCAGGCCCATCGCTTAGCTGAAAAAATAAATTAAAATACTATTTTAATTGATTTGTTAGAAGAGAAAAATACTATTTCAACTAAAAAAACTAAAAAGTATATATTATAAGAGATATTAACAGGGCCTAGGACAGCGGCAGCTGGTAACTGCACGTGGGGTGTTGATGCTGCATTGCATTGCCACTTGCCACTCAGATATTTGTCTCGCCATCCGTAGCCGCAGGGCAGGGCGAGCGCATGTGGTAACACAGTGCGGCACTTCGGCAGCGAAATGCCACGACCAAGGCAAGCAACCCACACCGAAACGAACGTATCCGTATGTTCGCTGAGTCGTATTAGCTTATCAGTCGATGAATAGTTTTTTTTTTCAAAACGGTACTCTAGTCATAGCTTATAAACTCAAACGAACGCGGCGCTTGTTTATAGATCACTAACAAGTACGAGTACTCCACTAGCAGTAATATGTAGTAGTTGATTACAGATCAACATATCACTGTACACTTGCTTCCTTCCTCTCCCTGTGTTGCCTCAAATCAAATGGCTCAGTGAGGAGAGGAGAAGAGGAACCGGAACCAAGATTCGAGTAGCCTTCTACTGCGGCTTCGCCGGCGGCGACCCGCTGGTCTCGCCGCCGCCGAGCCCGGACTCCAAGTCGCAGTCTTGGTTCTGCTGCTGCTGCTGCTGCGCCGGCGTCGGCGCGGGCGTGGCGCCGCCGCCGCAGCCCAGCAGCCGCCGTAGGGCGGCTACTCTAGCCGCCTCCACGACCGCCGCGACTCCGGCGATGGGCCCTGCGACCGTCACCTGGGGCGCCTGCGGCAGCGTCACCGGTGGCGGTGCCGCCGGCGCCGGCGCGGCGGCGCCCCGGGTGCTGACGGCGTCCTGGGAGCCGAAGAAGAGGACGTTGGTGGGGAAGTTGGGCGACTCCGGGTCCGCCTCGGGCGCCCGCGCCGGCACGGGCTTGTCGTCGTCCTCGGCGACCGCGCAGCGGCACAGCGGGCAGGTGGAGTGGGACCGCAGCCACATGTCGACGCACTCCACGTGGAAGGCGTGGCCGCACCGGGGCAGCACGCGGGCCGCCTCCCCGGGGCCCACCTCGGCGATGCACACGGCGCAGTCCGCGGGCGGGTCCCCGGCGCCCACCTCCTTCCTCGGCAGCGCCGCGATGGCGGCCTCGTCCATGCCGCCGCCGCCGCCGTGGCACCCCGCGCCCGCGAACACGAAGCGGGGGCGGCCCCTGTCGTGGCGCTCGCTTCCGCCTCCGCCTCCGCCTCCGCCGCCGATGCCGCCGATGGTGGGGGCGGCGCCGCGGTACCGCTTGGCGCAGAGGAAGAGGTAGAAGCAGATGACGAAGGTGATGAAGATGGCCGCCGCCGCCGCCAGCATCGTCGCCGCCGCCGCCACGGAGGTGCCCGTCACCGCCATCGGGGCGTCGGCTCCAGATCCCCTTTTCTCCTTGTCTTGCTCCTCCTCCTCCTCCCAGGAAGCAGGCTGTTCCCCAGCTTTCTTGGCTGGCTAGGACTGGCTTGGCTCTATGCTGGGTTCGGTTCTTGGCCGCGGTGGAGGCCGGCGGCGGCGCGCTCTGAGATTGGGAGTGGCTACTAGCTAGGGAATTGGGGAATTGGGTGGAGTCGGAGAGGGTTCTGGCGTGTATATATGCGGAGTGATTGGGATGGGGAAGGAGGAGCGTGTGTGATTTCTGATTTGGATTGCAGGTGGAGGTGGGTTTGGAGGGACGAGGGGAGAAGTGGAGGAGAACAGCGACGCTGGCTGTGTGGCAGGCCGACTAGCGGTCACTGGCTCACAGATATTAGCAGTGCTGCCTCGGTCAAAAAAGAAGTAACCTTTACATTTATCCCAAATTAATTATTTTATATCTGATTAAGTCCATAGATAAGATTGTATATAGATTTTAAAGAATTAATATTAGTTTTTATTTTGTTTGTGCCAGTAAACACGTTTGTGCTTTCCAATAGGACTTTACGCATCGTATTAGCATGTTCGCTTCTCTTATAATTCGTATTTTTTAGCTTTATTTTTTAGTTAGAACAATATTTTTCTCTCACGACAAATCAGCTGGAATAGTATTCAGCGAAGCGAACGGGGTGACTGGACGGACGTGTGTTGTTTTAACCTATATGGGTACTGGAGGCTTAGATATCTATCCAATTAACTATGTCATGCATTTAAATTCATTTTGAGATAAGATTCGGCATCGTGCATAAAACAATCTTCTCTAACTCCTACCACGGGCACATGAGAAAATAGCAAACCATGGAAACACTTTGTATTCTAATTTGTTTGAAATCAGACATGCACCATACTTAGACACCACTCTACCTCCTACGAGCATGGGAGAGCTTAGGTTTGTCGGATCCCATTGGACGGTTGTGAGTGATGACAGATCAAGAAACCTTTCTCCCATTTATATCATTATAATATATATATATTAGCAAACATGCACGTACATTCCTTACACCTTGATGCGCGGTCACCTGAACAACTTGTGGCTGGAGGACCTGTAATTGAATTGGTTCAATACCAAATCAGGCTTGGTATTAAAATTGGACACAATACAAATTTTGTTGTTTGGGTGCGCATTGAATTGGATGTTGGAATTTCGGAGGGATGACAGGCATGGGGAAGAAGGGACGAAGGGGCATCGGAGCGGGGGAGCTCGGCGCCCAAGAGTGTTGGGGCGGAGGAAGAGAGTTAGTGGCCGACGATAGAGGAGGGAGAGGAGCATCGGGAGGAAAGAGTGTTGTCGCCTAGGAGCGTCGGGGCGGGGGAACAGGGTCAGCGGCCCACGACAAAGGATGGTTGGGGCAGATGAGCATTGAGCGGGGATGGAGGAGCGTCCAAGCAAAGTAAGAGAGTCAGTGACCGGCCATTGGAGGGTTGGGGTGGAGGAGCGTCTGGCCCGGGCGGAGGAGCGTCAGGTGGCTATTGGATGCCGAACAATATGGAGGTGGATGACTCAGTATTGAAGATGGAGGGTTGCAAGTATAGAGAATACCACTTGGTATTGGGGTCTATATAATTCCAATTTCAAATTATGAACCATCCAAATAGTTACATTTAGAGGTAGCCAACACCAATTCTAAATTCTTAGGCTGAATATCTACATCCAAACAAGGTATAATATGTATTAGAATCAGACTCATATGGTCACTGGATGCACAAAGACATGCGGTTTCGACTCGTATAAGCGCTGGTCATGAGTCATGCTCAGACAAGACAAGAGAGGTAATGACACTGAAAAGTAAGAAAGAGGGATGGAATAATTGTTTTGCTCTCTAATACTAGGTATAGATAAAGATATATAGTAGATATAAAATATATTTCCTCAATCCAAAAATAACTGTGCATCTCACTATTCAAGTTGTAACGTGTTCATGTACCTAGCTATTATCTAATATAATTCTTCTTTCATCGCAAAAAAAAAAAAGTCAAACTTTTGAGTTATATAAAAATTCCAATACTTATAATGCGTAATGATTACCATCAAATTAATAATGAAATAATAATATATATTAGGAGAACAAATATTAATAACTTATTTTCATAAATATAGATAACTTAAAAAGTTTGATGCCGAAAAACGAGATGTGTAGTTATTTGGGAATAAAAAGAAGTATACATACAGAGATAGAGGGTAGAGATAGAGGTTAAAATTAAGATAGTTTGAGTTAGGAAAAGTTAAGAAGAGCGCTGACTGTAGACCGAAGGCGAGAGTGTTGAAAAATCTACGAAGCTAGCTGACGAGATGGGCGTGTGACTGTGACTGTGACATGTCACTGCGAATGGGTGCTGGACCATCTTGGTCAGGCAGGTTCTCTGCAACTGGACCGCTGCTTCCATTTTTCAGGATATAGGAATATCTTCGTCTTGGCAGGGCCAGGTACTCCGTAATCCTTATCAGGGGAGACACGAATTCAGATAACTACAACTATCACTGTTTAGTCGATGACATCGCGTGGGATCAGGAGCCACCATGTCGCATTCCGGTTCAGATTCTCTAACCGTGTGTTTGGTTGGGAGGACTACATGGGATGGCCCCAGGATCAACTCTGTTTGGTTCGGAGGCGAAGTGGAGCCGGGACGTCCTCCACGTGAATATTCGTGTGAGATGCGGGGCGACCACGTCCCCCAAAATTTCACGGACGGGGTCTGTCCCAGGGGGACGACGAGCGAGCGACGGAGGTGCCGGACGCGGATGAGGTCGCGGAGAGGAGCCACGCCGGACGCGGAGAAGAGGAGAGAGAGGAGCCACGCGCTCGAGCGATTCCTGTACCGGTCCCGGCATGCTTCGCCTACGGCCTTGCCGCGCACTGCCGTGCCCGGCCCTGGCGAGCCGCGCGCCGCCGTGCCCGTCCCCGACGAGCTCCAGTGGAGGAGGCGCGGGCGGAGTAGGGTCGGGGCACGGGGCGGAGGAGGCGCGGGCCAGAGGAGATGTGGGGTGGAGGGCAGAGGAGGTGCGGGGTCGAGGGCTGCGGAGGAGGCGCGGCGAGGTCGCCGACGGAAGACGAGCTCTGGGGGCCGGCCCTGCCGTCGCCGCGTGAGCTCCAACCCCACCAGCGGACCTGTTCGCACGGAGGAGTCGCGGGAGGATGCGTGGAAAGCTACGGAAGGGATAAGAGAGAGAAAAAAAAAAAACTGACAAATATGCTCCATCTGTCATTCACTTATCCCACTTTTAATGTTTCCAAACCAAACAGAAAACGGGTTGGTCCCGTCTCTACTCAACCAAACAGAAAATGGAATCATCCCGTCCCACAAATTAGAGACAGAACCATCCCACTCTACCTTGACTTTTAACCAAACGCTACCTAACTTACTGAAGGCAAGTCACTGGTGACTTACTCCATACCCGATGCCCTCTATTTCACATCCAATGGCTGAAAGAAGAAGCAACTTTTCCACCCTAAATAGCAAAAGCCCAGCTGTGGTTCTGGCCCAAATATAGCCCAACTTGGGATTATTATATATGAAACAGAGAAATAACATATAGTTTTACTAAGTATTTTCATAACAGAATTAAACAGACATTTTACCAAGTATTTTTAATGAGCAATACTATGGTACTTTCTTTACTTACTAGGAGGTAGTATCTCAAATAAATCTAATCCTTTGATTTTTTATAGATTTTTTGAATTAATTATATTAATTAATCTATGAAAAGAAAAAGAGATATTGTCAAATCCTCCTAATCAGCGCCTTGCTTGCCGCACCTTTTCTTGTTCTCGCCTTTCCTTTTCCGTTCTGTGACTGTGCATAAATATATTATCCTACTAAAATAACTGATAAAGCAAACTCCCTTGTAATATAGTGTATTCTAACATTCAAAATTTGTCCTCAAATATAATGCATTCTAGAGGACAAACACAAATTTTGCATTAAATACTTTTTATTTATCAACCAATCATCATTAATCATGTTGATAATAGCGTCTGATTAGGAAATAAAATAAGAGTACATGCGTCTTTTATGTTCTCTCTTAATATGTTTTAAAATTTTTAGAATGCACTATATTACAGGACAGGAGGGAGTATATCTTGAATGCAAATTCAAACATCTATTTTTAATTCACATACTCAGTTTAAAAAAATATGCTATATACATAAAAAATATCAACATCTAATTAACACGTTAACTGAATCATGAACGTCGACGATCTAAAACATATTACGCGCTAACATGTTACATAATCGAACATGAACGTCCACGATCTAAAATATACATGTTATTAACATGTTACATAATTGAGTATGTGTGCTATGCTGACTCTATTAAAACTATGTTACATAATTGAGAGGTTTTTCTAATAAAATATAAGCTGTCATATATATTGAACACGTAAAATGGCCATGTAAAATATCATGTACGCACCCAAAGTTTTTTTTTCTATGTAAGGTATTGGACACGTACGTAAGTTCAGAAATTTATAAGACATAAACTTGTAGTGGAGCAAAGCATGTAGTTTCGGATTTTCAATGAAACGATTAAAAAAATCTTTCATTTCCGTCAAAAAAAAATTCTGCCAAAAAAATTCCGTGCATGGGCGAGGGCAGCCAACCGCGTGCGGCCATATTGGGCCAGAATCGCCGGTGCTGGGCTTTGTTAGTGTGGTGGAAAAGTTGCTTTCTACCGTCAATCGTTGGATGTGGAATGGAGGGCATCAGGCATGGGATAAGTCACCGGTGACTTACCTTCAGTAAGCTAGAGAATCTGAACCGGTCTCCTTCACGCGCTTCATTGGATTGCATTCGATTTCCTAGCAAGCGATCTTAGAATCAGTTCAATTTTATAGAAAAATTTAATAAGCAAGAAAATTTACCACGTTTCGAACACTATTCGTGCACAAAAACCACAACATTTTAGTAGACGACGATGTCCCCTAGGGCTCGTTCGGCTGGTTGAGAAAC